AACTGGGAACAACTTGAGTGTCCAGCCAAGAGAATGTGTGGTTATAAGACATCTCAGAGGTAGAGTGACTGCTGGGAGAGAATGTCTAGGAGTTAGAGTGTGACTGTCAGGACATTGACTAAGCATTATCCCACTGTGTGCAGCTGTCCATTAGACAAGTGCCTAGGGTTGTCTCTGATGGAGGAAGTCTTAAGTCTAGTACAATGTGCAGTGCGCTGTCCAAATAATGCCTGATTTTGTTTACAAATGATAAATTAAGGTAGAAAGTAATAGGTGTTGAGAATTCCTCCACGTAAAAGAAACATATTTCTTTCTTATTTACGTAAAAATTCCACTTATCTTGTAATTCTTGAAAAAAAAGAGAAGATTAAGGTGCAATGGAAGATTGATGGAGTGAAGAAAGTGACTGGAGTATATTCTTCCAGACTTATTTCATATTTGTGTTCTTTCATCTGTAATTACAGTCTGTAAATGACACTGTCCAATGTACAGCTCCGCATGGATGAGATGCTCACATTCTGAGCAGAGCAATGACACTTCACAGACTTGCAATAAGACATCTTGCCTATAGTGAAGAAACGCAACTGGCGACGCCTTTCCTGGACTTGTGCAAGGTGTTTGGCACTGTCCCACATGACATCCTTGTCTCTAAAATGGAGACACACGGATTTGACAGATGGACCACTCAGTGGATAAAGAACTGGCTGGATGGTCGCACTCAAAGAGTTGTGGTCAATGGTGCGATGTCTACATGGAGACCAGTGTCAAGCGGTGTCCCTCAGGGGTCTGTTCTGGGTCCAGTGCTGTTCAACATCTTTGTCAGCGACATGGATGACGGCATTGAGTGCACCCTCAGTAAGTTTGCCGATGACACCAAGGTGTGTGGTGCCATGGACTCACTTGAGGGAAGAGATGCCATCCAGAGGGACTTTAATAGGCTTGAGAAATGGGCCAGTACTAACTGCATGAGCATCAACAAGTCAAAATGCAAGGTCCTTCACCTGGGTCGGGCCAATCCTAGGCACAAATACAAACTGGGCACAGAGTGGTTTGAGAGTAGCCCTGAAGAGAAGGATTTGGGGGTGTTTATAGATGAGAAGCTCAACATGAGCTGGCAGTGTGCTTATGTGGCCCAAAAGGCCAACCCCATCCTGGGATGTATCAAGAGAAGTGTGATCAGCAGGTCAAGAGAGGTGAGTCTCCCCCTTTACTCTGCTCTTGTGAGACCCCCACCTCAAATACTGCGTCCAGTTCTGGTGTCCCCACCATAAGAGAGACGTAGATTTGTTGGAGCGTGTTCGGAGGAGGGCCACAAAGATGATCCAGGGGCTTGAGCACCTCTGCTACGAGGACAGGTTGCGGGAGCTGGGATTGTTCAGCCTTGAAAAGAGAAGACTTTAGGGGGACCTAATAGCAGCCTTCCAATACCTGAAGGGAACCTACAGGAAGGCTGGGGAGGGACTTTTTACAAGAGTGTCCACTGATAGGACAAGGGGAAATGGGTTTAAGTTGAAGGAGAACAGATTTAGATTAGATCTTAGAAAGAAATTCTTCAGTACAAGCGTGGTAAGACTTTGGAATAAATTGCCCAGAGAAGTTGTGGATGTCCCCTCCCTGGAGGTGTTCAAGCCAGGTTGGACGGTGCCTTGAGTAGCCTGGTCTAGTTGAGAGGCGTCCCTGCCCATGACAGGGAGGTTGGATTAGATGAGCTCTAAGGTCCCTTCCAGCCTATGCCATTCTGTGATTCTATGAAACCTTATTACAGATAATACTGTGATATCGCAGTTCCTGCTTCCAAGACAGAAACAGAAAGAGCTGGTCTTCAAGAAATGCCTATGAAACTATGCTTATAAATTTTGCACAGCAGCATCTTAGCAGTTGAATCTTCTCAAGGTCTAACAGCTAATACTGAAAATAGTACTCAAAATTATTCCAGGCTCTTTTCTTCGCCTTTATCAAGGAACAGCTCTTGTCCAGTATATGAGATCACTAAACCCAGCATTTCAGCAATAAGTTACTCCAAAGCCGTCACATATTC